TCCAGGAAGCCCGGGGCAGAGCAACTCTGCCTCAGGCTTCCTGTAGTCAGCCGCTGGTCAGTTTCAGCAGCGGCTGAATCTGGATGCCAGTTTCGACTTACAAACAGATTCAACTTAGGGACTGTAGGTTTGTTCCTATCTTGTACGTAACCCAGGGACTGCCTGTACTAACTCTGACTTGGAGCTCAGGAATTGCAGAGTAGATCAGACCTCTGACACATTGTTTGGTTTCCTGTTCTTGTGAGTGGTAGTTAACATGTACTTCAGAGGAAGACATTAGAATCCCCATACTGGACAACTGTGAAATAACTTGCTCACAGAGGAGGTTTCTTACTAATTCCCACTGCTTAGTGGCTGTCGTATATCTTGAAGCATGAAGAATAATGTTCCTGATATTTTTATCTTGTCTAATGTGACAGTGAATATTCTCATCTCATAATTTTTAAATGGTGCTCAGGTCTTAGTCTAGATATCTTTTGGCAGAGTTCCACAAGTTAATTAGGCTTTATGTTTGTAAAAGTTTCAAATGTGTTGGCTGGTAATTTTTGGGGAGTATTTTCCTCTTATAATAAAAAAGAAAAGCGTTAAAGATTGCTCAAATTATATCTTTGTCTCTTGGTACTGCATATATGTCTGTCATTCATCTCCACTCACTCTGCTATAAACAGTCGTAATCTTAATCTTTCCATGTATGAATGTTTTTTTTTACAGATCGATCCATTAGGCCACTCTTCCCAGCAGGTTATTATTATGATACCCAGGTGGGTCCATTAATTTTAATGGTAGTCACAGTTCTATGGGAGTCAAAAGAAAGCTGCTTGGGCAAGCTTCCAAAATGGGTTCATTTTTTTCAAAATAGTGTTACCTGTTGGTACAGTTGAAGAATTAACAGTAGCATCCTTTAATATTTCAAGAAGTAGTATTGCTTAACACAGGCCAATTACTCATTACTACAAGAAAGCTATTTTTTTAACTGGTCTGACTTCAGACTCACTCTCTCAAAGAAATGAGTGAGATTTATTCCTGGGATAAAGTAATTTAACTAACTAGGAGATGTCATTCTTGCTCAGTGACATTTTAGATGAAACTATGATTAATGCTTGTGTTGCATGTCAAATAGAATAGGCTAGTGAATGACCTTAAAAATAGTGTCCCAAAAGATTTTCATTGCAAGTCCATACTACCATTTTCTGTTGTAGAAGGTGAGGGAAAAAAAGCTCATATGTTGTTTATTTGTGCAACAAAATAAAAAATAATCCTTAAACCCCAAAAATCTATCCATGTATTTCTTGTCAATATTTTAAGGTTGTCTCATTATGCAATTTTCTTTCTCACATTTGTTACTTCTTATTAAGGATGTCAATGAGTAGTTGACTAGATGATTAACCAATAAGCCTAGGTTTATTGGTTAATCTAGGCAACTACTCGGATTCACCTCCCCAAACTGCTGCCTCTGTATCAGAGGCAGTGGGGGGGGAGGTGGCTTAAAGCTGGTTGCCCCCATCACTGGCACTGTGGTGCCGCCTCCTCTCCTCACTGCCTCTATCAGAGTCAGCAGTGCGGGGGGTGGGGCAGGTACAGGGGAGGCTGCTGCGAAGCAGCTTCTGCCCATAGCAAACCAGGGCCTGCAATGGGACAGAGGCTACTTCGCGGCAGCAGCCTCTGCTCATGGAGGTCCCACGCTTGCCACTGACAAAGGCTGTTCCACATCCTGTGGAGAAGCCTCTGTGCGAGGCTAGTCTGGGCCTGCTGGCGACAGAGGCTGGTTCCTGCCTACAGTCCAGGCCTCAATGAATAAGAGTCTGCTTCACGGCAGCCTCCCTCAACAGCCTCTGTCTGCAGGGAGCTCAGATTCCCTGCAGACAGGGGCTGCTTCCACCCTGTGCTGCTGCCTCTGTATCAGAGGCAGAAGCCTGGGGCAGCAGGCTACTGGCCCACAAGGGGAGCTAGTTTTTAAACTGGCTATCCTTGCAGACCAGCTCCTTCCTGGCACCCCATAGAGTGGCAGGGGGCTCCCCAGGAGTGGAGCCGAAGGGTGCTGGCTGCTGGCCCTGCCCCCTGGGACTATAGAAGTCGACTAACCACTAAGAATTTATGCGGTTAGTCAACTATTCTATTATCTGCTATCCCTACCTCTTAGAGTAATCTCATTATTAATATTTCTGAAATATATGTTATAGGTAAAGATAACTTCGTAACATTGTAAGAGCCTGTGTTTGCTCCTAATTTGGTGATTCTTGGTGTTGAATATCATTTTTCTCCATCAGCTCGTTGATTTATGTAGTTGAACATTTTTTCTCTTTATATGAGTTCATATAATTTTTAGGTTATTGTGTATGTTGTTTCTTGCAAGTGTTTTGATTTAAAAAAAATATAGCTTAAAATTCTTCCATTGTCTTTTATATTATACCAGATCATTTGTAATCTTTTAGCAGTAGATGGTGTTAATCAGCCTGACGTTTTGGCAATTAATGGAGGTAAAAATTTTAAATACTTGGTACACTTTTTTTTAATGTTTGTATTTATGTAATCATTTAAAATATATATCTTATAATTTTAGCATCTGCAGCACTTGCGTTATCAGATATCCCGTGGAACGGTCCTATTGGTAAGTAAAATATTTTAGAATAAGAAATAACTACATCAAGGAAACAGTGCAATAGTAAAGCCACAGTTGAAAAAAAATTACAATGACCCTGCCAATTAAATATCTAGACACACAAAGTGGGTAAGGTAATATATTTCATTGGACCAAATTCTGTAGGTGAGAGAGACAAGCTTTTGAACTTTTAGACCCGAAGAAGAACTCTGTACACTCAGAAGCTCGTCTCTCTCACCAACAGAAATTGATCCAATAAAAAGCTGCTACTCACCCATCTTGTTTCTCGAGTACAACAATACTTCATATAACTTGAAATCTAGTCATTTTAAGATTAAAGGTAGTTTTAGGTAGTAAATGTGTCCCAGATTCCGCAGTCAATTTATATGGTTTTAACTATGTTTGGGGGTTTTTTCTTCTTTAGTGCTGTGTCAAGATTCACACAAACAGGGAGAACTGATTATATAGAGCAAATAGTGAAACTATACAAAAAGTTGTAAATATACAAACTAAAGCTGAAAAAGAGAGACTATATTCATCCTGATCTTGTGTAGTTTTAACAATAGTAACCACAGAACTACAGACAGATGTGTGATCAGCGAAATAATGTCCATGAACGTTGAGTAGTTATTACAGAAGTTTAAACAAAATTGTAATAGTATTGCAACAACTATCTGAAAACCAAGGCATAGTGCTCAGGTCAGATTTTTTGTAATTCTTTATCTGCAAAGTTACATTAATGATCAGTAAATTACCTTCTAATTTTCATATTCGGAGGAAATATCCCCATGACTATGAAGTATATGGAAAAATCATAGAGTTCATGATTCTAAAGCTGGGGTCTCCAACCTTTTTGAGCATGAGATCACTTTTTGAATTTCAGTGCAATCTAAGATTTACCTCAACCCAAATACCCTTGCCCCACCTCCTTCCCGCCCCTTCTCGGAAGTCTCACGCCTACTCACTTCATCTTCCCTCCCCCATCCTCACTCACTTTCCCCAGGCTGGGGCAAAGGAGCTGTGCAGAAGTGGTGGGGAGGAGCAGCTGAAGTGCTGGCACTTGATACTCTTGGCCAAACCAGTCAGGATCACTTGTCAGAGACTCCAAGATCTATCGGTAGATCCCAATCGACTGGTTGGTGACCACTGTTATAAGAAATGGTAGACGAGAGAACAGCAAAATAGAGAGAGTGGATTTCAGAAATGCAGATTTTAGTAAACTCAGCTGGTAGCTAAGGTCCCATGGGAAGCAAGACTAAGAGGAAAAACAACTGAAGACAGTTGGTAGTTTTTCAAAGGGACACAAAAGTAAACTATACCACCGAGTAGGAAAGGAAGAAAATATGGTAACAGACCACCTTAGCTTACCCAGGAGATTTTACGTGATCTAAAAATCAAAAAGGAGTGTATAAAAAGTGGAAACTAGGACAAATTACAAAGGATGACTAAAAGCAAACAACGCAAATATGCAGGGGCAAGAATAGAAAGGCAAAAGCACAAAATGAGCTCAACCTAGCTGGAGACATAAGAGGTAACAAGAAGACATTCTACAAATATATTAAAAGCAAGAAGACAACCATGGGCAAGGTAGGCCTATTGCTCAGTGAAGAGGGAGAAACAATAACAGGAAACCTGGAAATGGCAGAGGTGCTTAACAATTTCTTTGTTTCGGTTTTTGTCAAGAAGATTGATGGTGCCTAACATAGTGAATACTAGTGGAAATGGGGTAAGTTTAGAAGTTAAAATAAAAAAAGAATGTTAAAAATTACTTAGAAATGTTAGATGTCTGCAAGTCACCAGGGCCTGATGAAATGCATCCTAGAACACTCAAGGAGCTGATAGAAGAGGTATCTGAGCCTTTAGCTATCATCTTTGAAAAGTCATAGAAGTCAGGAGAGATACCAGAAAACTGGAAAATGGCAAATACAGTGCCCATCTATAAAAAGGGAAATAAGAACAACCCAGAAAACTAGAGACCAGTCAGTTTCACTTCTGTGCCAGGGAAGATAATGGAGTAAATAATTATCTGCAAACATCTGGAAGATAATTAGGTGATAGGTAACAGCCAGCATGGATTTGTAAAGAACAAATCATATCGACCAATCAGATAGCTTTCTTTGTTAGGATATCAAGCCTTGTATATAAGGGAGAGGCAGTGGATATGGTATACTTAGACTTTAGTAAAGCATTTGGTATGGTCTCACATGACCTTCTTTTCAATAAACTAGGGAAATACAACCTAGATAAGGCTACTATAAGGTGAGTGCATAACTGGCGGGGTAGCTGTATTCAGACAAGAATCAGAGGGGAGCCGTGTTAGTCTGAAACTGCATAAACAACAAGAAGTCCTGTGGCACCTTATAGACTAACAGATTTATTGGAGCATAAGCTTTCATGGGCAAAGGCATAAGCCTCTGACAAAGTGGGTTTTTGCCCACGAAAGCTTATGCACCAATAAATCTGTTAGTCTATAAGGTGCCACAGGACTTCTCGCTGTTCTCAGAGACTAGTTATTAACGGTTCACCATCACACTGGAAGTGTAGGGGTCTGTTTTGGGACTGGTTCTGTTCAATATCTTCATTAGAGACTTAGATATTGGCATAGAGAGTAAAATTATTAAGTTTGCAGCTGATACCAAGTTGGGAGGGGTTGCAAGTGCTTTAGAGGTCAGGGTCATAATTCAAAATGATCTGGACAAACTGGAGAAATAGTCTGAGGTAAATAGGTTGAAGTTTAATAAAGAAAAATGCAAAGTACTCAACTTAGGAACAATCTGTTTCACACATACAGAATGGGAAGCGACTGTCTAACGAGTACTGCAGAAAGACATCTAAGGGTCATAGTGGACAAGCTACATATGAGTCAACAGTGTAACATTGCAAAAAAAAAGAAAATGTGATTTAGGGATGCATTAACAAGAGTGTTGTAAGGAAAAAACAAGAAGTCCTTCTTCTGCTCTACTCTATGCTGATTAGGCCTCAGTTTGAGTATTGTGTCCAGTTCTGGGCACCACATTTCAAGAAAGATGTGGAGAAATTAGAGAAGGTCCAGAGAAGAGCAACAAAAATGACTAAAGGTCTAGCAAATATGACCTCTGAGGGAAAACTGAAAGAATTGGGATTGTTTAATTTAAAAGAGACACGACTGAGAGAGGACATGAGAGCAATTTACAAGTACCTAAAAGGGTGTTACAAAGTTACAAGGAGGAGGGAGAAAAATTGTTCTCTTTGGCTTTTGATCATAGGGCAAGAAGCAATGGGCTTAAATTGCAGCAAGGGAGGTTTAGGTTGGACAGTAGGAAAAATTCCAGTCAGGGTGGTTAAACCCTGGAATAAATTGCATAGGGAGGCTGTAGTCTCTCCATCACTGGAGATACTTAAGAGCTGGTTGGATAGACATTTATCAGGGATGATCTAGATCAGTGTTTCTCAACCAGTGGTATAAGTACCCTTAAGGGTACTTGGGAGAAGTCCGGGGGGTACATCAACACAACTGAAATTTGGAGAAAACTGAATTTTTGTTTTAAGTTTTACAGAGTTTTATTATTTTTTTACTTTTTACACCCAAAATTTTCATTGCCTGCCCAGCTATGATTAAGTTGTTTAAACAAATGTGTTGCAACAGTAGAAAAAAAAATTGTGTGTCTGAAAACTGTAGGTACTGGGGGTACTTAAAAAAAAAAAAGTGTGGAGGGGTGCTTTATAAAAAAAAGATTGAGAAACACTGATCTAGATGGTGTTTGGTCCAGACATGAGTGCAGGGGCCTGGACTTGATCTCTCGAGGCCCTTAAGTTGTAGTATTCTATGATATTTCGCAACAAGTTTTTGTACTTCTATGAAAGCTTCTTCTCCTGTATAACTATTTCAGTTTACATACCCCAAGCATTTTTTTAGTTTATTGGCAATATTAAAACATTCTCTGGAAGGATTTGGATGGGGAGGGCAGACATGCCATAACCATTTATTATTTTATTCAAAGGAATAATCTTTAGTTTTGCAGCATTTCCTGTAAATTGCAGGAAATATTCATTCACCAGGCAAGTCTTACTGTTTTCAAACTGGTTAGTACAGCTGCACCCCGAGTCGTGAACGGTCGAGTTACGACCATTTGCACTTACGGCCAAAGCTCCCATGGAGCAGTCGTAAAGGCGGTCCCCGAGTTACAAACGCGACCCGCGCTTACACGCGACCGAGCTGTTCGTAAGTCAATGGGGTCCGAGTTACGAACGGATCGAGTTACGGCGAAGTGTTTGGTCCATAACTCATTCGTAATTCGGAGAGAGGCTGTATCCTTTTCCCTTCAGTCTAACATTTCTAGACACTAAAATGTTATTTAACTGGAGTAAAGGTTGGTAGAATGTATAAGTGATTTAAAGATTTTATAAAGCTTAAATAATTAGACACTTACAAAATTCTGCATTGACATGAAAGTTTAACTCTAGCTTAATGGAGGTTATTGCCTGGAATCTCTTTTAGTTTTCCAGATTTTTTAAATACTTATCCCTGAAGGGGCCCTGTGTAGAAAAGTGCAGTATTTGGGCTTTTGTTTTCTGGACCACCCCTTCTCTTCCAACTTTTACTCAGTGTTAACTGGGGCTCTTTTGGCATCCTGAATGTCTCATAGGAAGGTAACATAAATTGCTCAAATGGAGATATCACTTCATAATGTATTTTTCTTCAGCCGATTCATGTTTCAGGAAAATGGCTTATCCCGACTACCAACAAAAATAAGTTTATGTACTTTGGGGCATAACATTATTATTATTATTATTATTATTATTATTGGTGATACTGCAATAATGGCACTACCCAAATAAGCCAGAATTATCTAGTGTAAATAACTTGACTTGCAAATTGTCTGCATAGTTTGAATAAACTTTTAATTTTATAACAGTCAAAAGGTCATCTGGCACAAACACACACACACATCCCACTATTTAAATATATTAGTTATTTTAATAATTACCTCTGAAAGTAAACCAAATAAAAATGGTCCTTTTGAATGAACTCCTATATAGATGTAAAAATTAACTTCTGGAGTTTCTTCTTAGGTGCAGTAAGAGTAGGAATGGTTGATGGAGAAATTGTTGTTAATCCAACTCGAAAACAAATGTCTTCTAGTACCTTGAATTTACTGGTTACTGGAGCGCCTCATAGTAAAATTGGTAAGCTGTTAAAATTATTCATCTTTGATGTTTAGATAAAAATTGAGCACTTTCCAAGAGGAGCCACCCTTGAAATACTACCTTTATAATCAAGATGTGATTGGAACAGAAATTGTGAGGAAATTTTTTTCTAGTTTGATTTGGAAGGAAGTCATATGTTGGAATTTCTTTACTGTATTAAAGAGATCTTTAATATCAATTAGATAATACATGCCCCCTGCTTATTCAATTGAACTGCAACATTGATAGATTTTTCTTTGTGCTTTGGAATATGTTTTCAAGAAAAGGGGTTTTTTTTTTTATTGTAATACAGTGAAATTTGAGTTAATTGTCATGTATCCTAGCAGCCAGTAAAATTTTAGTCCCCTCAGGATCCAGATTTTGTGATGCAGTGGTGTTCTTAGAGAATTTAACCCTTATTTAAAAGCACTGGAAATCTTGGATTATAAATCTGTTTAAGATATATTTTTTCTTAAATTTGTTAAATTAATATTCCTTTCAAAAACTTGGAAATTTTCTCACTTATAATGCCCACTATATACATCATCAAACTGGCAATATGGCAATTTCCGTTTTATCATGTTTAATTCACTAATATTTGTTAGTGACTTATCTATTTTATAAGTAGAGCAAGAGTTTTCATTTGTTATGGAGTAGGGCCTTACCATATTTACAGTCCATTTTGGTCTATTTCATGACCAGAGTTGGACAGTTTCATATGTTTATATCTAAAATTTCACGGTGTTGTATGCTACGAATCATGTGGCAGTTACTTGTTTAGAAGTTGAATGTCCTATTCCATTATAACTTAAGATAATCTTACTGGTTGTGGTAGTGTATAACATATTTTATTAAGTCTGTGGCACATCTATATCTAACATTTTTCTAAATGAAGATTCTAACCATTAACCTATTTTGAAGGCAGTAGTCTGACTTCTGTTCAGTTGCATCTTGTGGAATTTCTCCTTACCAACTTACAATTGCAAAGTTATTCTGAAATACTGCCAATTAATTTTTCTTCCATAAGTCCCTCTCTTCAGTTTTCATTTTAAAGCTGTTTCCTTGATGCTATGACCTTGGAAATAATAAAAAAGCCTGATATGAAACAGATTGACTAAGTCACTGTCTTTAATTTTTCCAAAAATACATGGGTTTTGTGTGTCCTTTGTGATAAGATATATTTTAATAACTTGTTCTACATTAGTTGAAAAACATGATGGTAACTTACTGTTTGACTTTTAATTAATAGTCATGTTGGAAGCCTCAGCTGAGAACATATTGCAGCAGGACTTCTGCCATGCCATCAAAGTGGGGGTGAAGCATACCCAGCAAATAATTCAGAGTATACAGCAACTGGTAAAAGAACATGGTGCTGCCAAGAGAACTGTTCAGAAATTATTTAGTGCTCCAGCAGATATGGTTGAATGTGCAAAGCAGTAAGTACAAAAGCAAATGGTTCTAATTTGAAAGAGCATTAGTGTGACCAACTTCGTTGCTTACTGATCCTCATATCTATGATATTTTCATACCAAATATTGGTTAAAACAAACATTTCAGACTCCCTGACTTATCCTCTATTTTTTCTTCCTTTTGATATTCTAAGCCCTGGCCCTTTTCCCCTTCTTTACTTAGTCAGAAGGGCTACAGTAGCTGCCTGAGGACATGCGGATGGGAAAGAAGTCAGAGAAGCCTTACCACACCATCCTCCCCTCCCCCGCCCCCCAAACAATAAGAATGGAGAAAGGTTCTCATCTTCCCGGACAGAGACATCTTGAGGGAGAAGCACCTGTGGTTCCTCCCTCCCCTCCCCCCCCCACTCTTTTTAGGAAAGAGGATGGAGGTGGGAAATCGAGCAGTCTTGAATGAGGGAAAGGATACAGGAAGCAGAGAGGATTCTAAGTGAAGATGAGACAGATCAGTATTGGGGTAGTGCTGCGGGGAAGCTCATTCTCTCCCTCTGGTGTTTAGAGAGCTTCTACCCTACACATCAATAGAACCCTCCTAGCAGTTCTTTTATTTGTCCCTGCTGGGAGGGAAAGTCTGAGAACCACTGAGGAGGGAAAATACCAGTGGGTGCTCTGGCTGCTTCGTAAGCATAAGCAGAAGGAACTGGGATCTTGGTGCTCAAGACCAGCTTAAATGTAAGTGATTCACTGAGCTTTCTTGTATGCTGTCCCGGCATGCATTTTTTTCTTCCTCTCCTCAATTTAGAACGTTATTTTCCCTCAGTTCTCTCTGCCATCTGAGTGAGGGTTCACCATTTATTGATCCATATGTGTCTAGTGGAAGACATACGTTTCCCTCCCTTCAGCGCTCTTGAATATTTTTGGTGGGAGGAAAAGGAGTCTTCTTATGCCCTAACTACTGTGTATTCAGGGCGGAGGGCACAAGAGTTCTTTTTTCTAACCCCATCTCCGAGGACCTTTTGAGATTGCTGCCCTTCTGAAGAAGTAGTTGTAAATTTTCATGTATATACTGTTCTATCTCATGGTGATATAGAAGCTTCCCCAAGTTACAGGCGGGGGGACTGGACTTCCATCTGTAAAAGAGGAAAATGAAGGAGGGCATCTGTCTAGAGCTCCTAAACATCAAAACTCATAGACAAATATATGTCTTTATAAAGATCCAAATTGACCAGTTGCCGGCATCCTATTATTTTTTATAAAGGTAACATCTCTGTAGAATTTCATTGTAAGTTATAAGAAGATGGGCTTATGGATTTGTCAAGTAGGCACAACTTCCAATAATATTAATGGGTGCTCTGTGTGTTCTGGCAGAGATTAATTATTTAGGCACTAATTTAATATCTAGATAATCTGTTGCAGCAAACAGACTACATATTAACAATGGTGTACTTAAGACTAATTAACTGAAACATCCACCCTCTCTGTGCATGCTTTGAAGAGAACTTTAAGTAGTATATTGTGAACTAATGGAACGCAACCGACAAACTCTGAATGTTTTAACTATTAAGAGTGAGAAAAATCAGAAAATGATTGTATACGTAAGAGAACAGAATTTAAAAAAACTACATGGATAGTGATAGCACAACTATAGGAAATAAAATGAGTAAATTGGCCAATCGTGGATGAAAGATAATTTAATAATTCTTTTTAGTATATCCCAATGTGTAATATTTTCTAGCTGAGCTGTAGACTGCTTAAATGTCTAAATGTCTTGGTTCTTGTTGCCTTTCAGTTAGGTGTTTATTAATTTTTTGTGCATTTCCTTTATAGCAGACAATTCTAAATCTCTTTTAAAAATGTCAGTAGCAAGCCTTCCCCATTTTATGCTTGCAGCATCTATGGCTCACTATACATTGCGCCATGAAAGTTCCTTTATAGTAAGAATGTTAAGGACTAGTCGACTATCCAATAAGCATTTGCCCCCTCCCCCCTTGCTGCCTCTATGGGGGGAGGGGAACGACTCTGTGGTGAGCCAGGGATCAGCTGTGCGGCGCTGCCCCTTCGAAACCCAAAGGCGGCATTTTAAAGGGGCAGCGCCGTGGAGCCTGGCATTTCCCCAGAACCAGGGGTCTGCTGGGGAGTTCCCATTTGACCCTGGGCTTCATGGCTCTGCCCCTTTGAAATACCGAGGCCCCTGCTAGGGACTCTTGTACATTTCAAAGCAGGCACCCGCGTGCAGCCCGGAGTCAGCAGGACTTCCCGCTGGCCCCGGGCTGTATGCGGAGTTCCTCATTTCTCCTTTGAAATGTACAACAGCCCCACTAGGGCCTACATTTCAAAGGAAGAATGCAGAAGTGCCTATCAGCTAGTCGAGTAGTCGATGGAAATTCCGTCGACTACTCAACTAATCAATTAACCGCAATTTAACATCTTTACTTTATAATAATACTGTGTTAAGGTTTCTTAATTTTGTAGTCTATGTGGTTTTTGTGGATTGATGATAATATACTATACCTGACATGTCAAATAAATGATAGATATTAAGTTTCACTGTTAGTCAAAAAATGTGCTGTTCCTGGTTAAATAAGAACTCTTCCAGTTCAGTGTTTGTGCCAACCTTTATAGATGAATATGCTTGAAAATGTGTCATTAAAGGCCATTAAATGAAATACAAGTGGACATGAACATATGAACTGCTTTAATATTTTATTTCAAAAAGATGTCAAATCAAGTTTCAACATGGAACAGTATTCTCTGGCCATATGAAACTTAAATAATAGGGCTTTGTATCAGAAATGCTTATACTTTTTATTCTAAATAATGCTGCTTATGAGTATTGCTATAATACAGGCAGTCCCCGGGTTACGTACAAGATAGGGACTGTAGGTTTGTTCTTAAGTTGAATCTGTATGTAAGTCGGAACTGGCGTCCAGATTCAGCCGCTGCTGAAACTGACCGCCAGTTCTCACTTACATACAGATTCAACTTAAGAACCACAAGCTTCCCCAAGTCAGCTGCTGCTGAAACTGATCAGCGGCTGATTCCAGGAAGCCTGGGGCAGAGCAACTCTGCCTCGGGCTTCCTG